TGACGCCGTGGTTGGCGCACGATCGGAGCTGGATTGGTAGGAAGGAACGGATGGTCCGGAGCGCTAATGAAAGCGCTGGGAGTCCTTACCGTTTCGGTTTTCGAGAAGGAATAAGTCGAATTGTCTGCAAATTATCCTGCTTTATATACGTTTCGCATTGTGACCCCTCGCGGTAAGGGGTTGTTTTCGCACACTTGTTGTTGCGAAAATCTCTAGAATATTCTAATTCTTTAATAGTGATTTATTCGATTGCTGCGTGTTTTTTCGCCTTTTTGATTGTTCTCGCGTTTAGCGGAGTTTGCGATATTCTTAAGGGTGCGCTTGGCTGGCGCGTGATGCACTTGGTTGCGGTGTAACCAGCGCGTATTCTTCGTGTGTTTTTTCTTGCTGCTTTTCTGCGTATCTTGAGTTCTTTGTTCTGGAGCGCGCGCGAGTCTCCCTTGTTTATTTAGGGCTTTTATTTCCTTATTCGTGCCTTCCTTTAAATTGCAGTGGCTCCTATTTGCTATTTGAGGCCTTCGTGATTGATGCGTGCGTTTTATGTTGCATCGCTATGCATTTTATTAGTGCATTACGTGTTTTTCGCTTGTTCTCAATGAATCGGTGTTATTTCTTCGCGATTATCGAATGGCTAGTTTTAATGTTCATTGTTTCCGTTTTTTAGTGGTGCAATCTACGTTTTTTTAGCGGATTTCCTATTAATTCTCTGTTTTATGATTCGCGCAGGCGCTGTGCGCGCAACGTTCGTTGGTAACGGCAATGGTAGCATATGCTATAGGTACTCGCGGCACGTATTATATCGTTTGCTATATTGTGTGCTCGCGTTCGCTTGGTAGACGGCCGGAGTGCTATAGTATAGCGCGCCGGACGTTACACCCCCCCCCCTTACTTTGGAGCGTCGGTTTTGCCAGAAGCGTCGCGACTAGGAGCTTGTCGACTTGTACATTTATGTATGGAAAAATAAAAATAAAAATAAAATAATAATAATAGTAGTATTAGTTACTCGCAACGATGGCGATAGTAGAGAAAAAAAAATATAAAGAGTGGTAAATAATAATAGAATAATAATAGTAATGGCGCTAGTTACTTGTAGCGATGATAATAATAAAAAAAAATATAAAGATTAATTAATAATTTGGCGCTTGTTTGTACAGAGATAGACTTTCTGGACGTTACACTATGTTTTGCCTTTTTGTTATTTCTACAGAGAAGAAAGTGGTTCTAGGGTCCACTTTTTTTTTTTACGTTAATTATTTGATTAATTCATGTAGTATTATAATTAGGATAATTTAACGTAAATGTTTATTTATTTGTCATTATTATTTTTTTTTGTTTGTTTTTGTATCTTTTAAGATACATCATAGGATGGAAGTAACTATTGAAACCTATGAACAGCAAGTATGCTGTTTGGCATGTTGCAAATAATTCATATTTTATTTTCAGATGTCTGATGATATAGAGGTAAATCTTGATTCTTTAGAACCTGTAGAAGATGAAGAAAACGAAGTAGCTAGCGAGGAAGAGTATGGTTGTGGACAGAGAGTACGTATGCGTAAACCAGCAACTTTCGTACAGTACTGGATAAATACTGGTAATCCACCCTATAAGACTCTTCTAGATGAGAACGAATTATCCGAATCTGGCTCGTCTCTAAGCGAAATAGAAATTGCATCTTTATTTGTATCTCCGGTCACAAATGCAAATAAGGGTACAAAATGCAAAAATGATTTGTTTTGCAGTTCTGTAGATACTGCGGCTTACGTTCTATCAAACGCAAATATTACAAAGAAAGCAGATACTGTAGCTATTATATAAGGTGCAAAATGTGTCGAGGTTAACTCCCTAAAGGGAGTTGCTATTGAAGATATAGGAGTTTCATCCAATAATAAGATTAAATATATGGAAACCACCAGAATCAATCGTGCGATAACGCATGACAATGACAATGTTAATGTTGATATTTTGGATACCGAACTCTATCCAATGTCAACAGAATGTATGACAGCAGAAGTATGTGGTAAGGTGGCTGCTAGCACCTTAATATCTTCTAATGCAATACAATCTAATGTGTATAGTTTATCTTGTGAAGAAACAGATAAAAGAGATGAATCTAATATCCGTCAAAGAAATTCAAATGTACAGACTATAGATAATATTGCATCTATTTTTCAATAATTTGATAAAACGTCGAAACGATTGATCATAAACGATAAAAATAATGATGTGTCAGATTTAGATCGAAATAAAGTGTTAGAGATGGATTTTCACGAGAAGCAAGTGTCAGAAAATATCGTGCATGAAATTGTTGCAAAAAACACAAGTTTGACAACTCTCCATCGTAAGAAATTATATACAGGTAGGGATTCCCCTGTAGACCTAATACTAACCGAAACACATGATGCAAATAGATTATCTGGAGTAAAACAAAGTTTACATCTTGCTTTAGATCTTGATGGTACAATTAAAGGAGGATCATTTTTAACTCGTAAAGGCAAAAGTAAACGTTTACTTTCTGCTAAAAGAAACCTCGATTCTAAGACGATCAAGGGAAAAGGAAGAAGAGAATTCAATTGTATTTCCAATAAAATTATTACAGAGATTAGTAACAAGGATAGACATGACAACTAGATTCAAGATACTACCATTGACAGCTCTTTCAAGAATTTATCAGACTTTTATGATAATTCGAATAAACAAAATGACATTACGTTTCGGGAATACAATGACACAAATATTTCTGTGAGAAATGAAGACTTTAGCAAACAAAATGTAGCATCTTCTAATCTAAAACCAGTTGTACTTTTAGAGCGGATTCAGTCTTTTAATCGTAAACTCGGCGAAAATACTCACAAAATCGCACAAAAAGAAGATGTATGCAACAGGAATTTAAATAAATCCAAAAAGTTACATTCTTGCAAGATTAAAAATCTGGAATCAGAAACGATATATATAGACAGCGACGAAAGTACTAATCTTATTTACGAATGTAATATGAATGCATCGCAATGTGTTTCGTCTTTAAGTGATTGCTCTCTCAATTTGAGACTGGACATTGAAGATGACTTTTCTGCTTCAAATGCAAAAAAGAAAGATGACAAACTATCAAATTTGAAAAATATAGATGTGAGTCACAATAAAGAGTTACATGTAGAAGGATTGCTGTCAAAGAAAAATTATTCAAATGCAATGATGGAATCGGATATTTCGAATAAAACTAACGCCCTTTGGCAAAATGTGTTATCAAATAAATCTAAAACAGATTCCTATTTATATGGAAGAAACGATATGGATAACGTAAAACTGTGAGAAATTAAAATTGTATTGGAACGATTGCCATTACCAGTAAAAAATTGTACAAATACAATGACGGAAATGCAAGTCTTCAATAAAAATAATGCTGCTGTTTGGGAAAAAGAAACCTCAAATAAATCTGAAATACATTTTTCTAATCTGCATGGAACAACTGAGAAAGATAATATAAAACTTGGAGAAAGCAGAGTTTTATTGGAACGATTGCCATTATCAATAAAAAATTGTACAAGTACAATGACGGAAATGCAAGTCTTCGATAAAAATAATGTTGCTGTTTGGGAAAAAGAAATATCAAATAAATCTGAAACGCATTTTTCTAATCTATATGGAACAACTGAGAAAGATAATACAAAACTTGGAGAAAGCAGAGTTTTATTGGAACGATTGCCATTATCACACAATAAAAAATTGTACAAGTACAATGATGGAAATGCAAGTCTTCGATAAAAATAATGCTGCTGTTTGGGAAAAAGGAATATCAAATAAATCTGAAACGCATTTTTCTAATCTATATGGAACAACTGAGAAAGATAATACAAAACTTGGAGAAAGCAGAGTTTTATTGGAACGATTGCCATTATCAATAAAAAATTGTATAATACAAGTACAATGATGGAAATGCAAGTCTTCGATAAAAATAATGCTGCTGTTTAGGAAAAAGGAATATCAAATAAATCTGAAACACATTTTTCTAATCTATATGGAACAACTGAGAAAGATAATACAAAACTTCAAGAAATCAGCGTTTTATTGGAACGATTACCTGCGAATGTATGCCTTAAGGAAAACAGCAATGTTACAAATATAAATACTTTTCCTAATAAAAAAGTTTCACAGAATACAGGACTGCAACCTAATCATAAACGAGTATCTAAAATTAGGAAAATTTCTAGAAGTTTGGCTTGTAAAAATAAAGTTGCTGTTCCATCAGTTGGTAATAATTATTCATCGAAGATGAATATCAAATCCAAGAAAGATAATGATAAAATAAATGATACATATGATATTGTCACACAGCGTGGAAGCCAAGTTTTTGATAAGATAGAGTCAGAGTTTACATTTCAGCATAAAACATTTCGACTTAAAAATTGTAGTAAAGCAAGTCGAGATGACCGTGGTAAATATTCAATTTTAACATTTACATTATCAGATGAAGATGATTTTGTTCGATCGATACAACATCCCAGAAAAATGTCAAAAGTGTCAGCTAATGATATATTAGGTGAACCAAATATCGCCGAAAAAGATTTGTATGATCAGATCAAGCTGGTTATTAGTGATAAAGACAAATATAGTTATAGTAGGAACTTAACTTCCGAAGTACAGTTCGTTTGTCGGAAAATACTATACAAAGAGACATTGGCTTGATAAAAAAAAAAAGAATATAGTGACAATACGCAGATGGGAACTACTTCCTTAGAGTTACTTAGAAATAAAGAATTTGTGTTTTCCTCAAGTGAAGATGACAATGGTAATGTTGCTGATAATTCAAATAAAGTTAAGAAAAAAATTTTGTTCTTCGATAGTAAGGAAAATATAAGTAATAACAGTCTGAGGCATTCAAATGGAGTGATAAAAAAAAATGGGATAGATTGTAAGGATAATGCCCACGTTATATTCTTCCAAACAAAAACATTTGACACAAACTCTTCAAATTCTGAAGAAAGCAATAGTTATACTTCATCTACTCGTAAAGTGTTAACGAGTTCTACTCACAATAGATTGCGATATCATGATAGTATTAATTCAGAAGAAATCTTTAATGATTCTCTTGCGAGGAAGTACAGTAAAAGACATTTAGGCTCATTGAATTTTTCTCTTGAAAAGCACAGTCGAACGCACAATGGAAGAACTAAATTTAAATCGATCGACAAAGAAGTCAAAACGAATAAACAATTAGCTAATAAAGAATCTAATAGCGATATTGAATCGAGAATCAGTGATACGAGGAAAGATGCATCTTTCTCTTCTCTTATAAACAATAAACGAGTCACATCTGTGCAAAAAATAACATTATCAAATACTTTAGGAATACTTGAGGAAACTAATCTATTGAAAAATAAAAAGATCTCGGAAAAATCTAAAAATTCAGTAGCTATTCAACAGGGTGTCCTTACATCTACGGTAAGAAAATTGTTAACATTTCAAACGAAAAGTTATTACGATTCTTCCGATTCAAGCGAAACTATGTAGCTTTCAAAAAATACATTGTAAAACTCGCGCGATATACTTGTATTAAATATATAAATGAGAATGTATAAATGTATAGATGTGTGTATAGAAGAAATGTTAAATTTTATGAAAATAATTGAGACGATATAACACGTGTGTATGAAGAATTAGTAAGCCCATATTTCTAATATAAAATAAGCTCGATATACTAATAAATGTAGCGTAATTATCCTTTCTTAAAAAGGAGATGTTAAGTCGATAACTTGCATTTCTCGAAGTATTGTTGCCGCTTTTCCGCGGTGCTGATTGGTTCTCTCGCGTCGCTTACTTCCTGAGCAGCTGTC